CGGTTTTTTCACACAAACATGGTCGTTTCCTTTTAAAACCATTTAAAAAAAAAAAAAAAAAAAAAGACCTGAGCACAGAACCCAGCAAAAACATGCCTAGGCTCCTGGCCCACAGAAGCTGTTTTTCCACCTCTTAATGTGATATTCTCTATTTAGGTCTTCTTCAATGTTTTGAATAAAGTTTGCATTTGGTTTTGTAGCCTAACTCAAAGTGTACCTAGTTTTTAAGTTTTTAAGTATATTACCAATCCTTCATGCCACTATCTCTCAGTTCTTAAATTCATTTTTTAAAGAATTATTTTATTTATTTATTATTATTTCGCATGAGTTTTGCCATAGAAAGAGAGAGGAAGAGAGAGAGAGTAAGCTGACAGGTCCAGGACTTGAACCACAGTTGGCCACGTGGGAATTCCAATGCCTTAAACACCACATCACTTGCTGGCCTCCTTAAATTCTAAATTTCAGTTTATCTCTTGACAAACTGGGTCATATGTCCAACTGATTTATTTTTAATACAAGTGTTTTATTGGGGCTTATGCACATATAAGTCTTTCTTTATTCTCCCTATTTTTTTGTTCCTTTTTTTCTTTTTTTTTTTAAATAATTTGTCAGAGGGCACATGTGCCCACCAGAATGAGAGACAAAGTACCCCCACATGGGTTGTAGTCATACTGCAATCCCTTCTTCTCCATTTCTCCATCCAGTTTGGTATGGGGCACACAAGTACATGAGTCCAGCATGTTTTTCAAGCTACTGGGTTCAGAACTTGAACTGTAGTTGGCTATATAGAATCCAGCTCCTTTAATCACTAGGTTATAGGGTTAATCCTCATTTGTTTTTCTGTTTCTAATCATTTAACACCTAAAACTGGGTGATTTATAAAAATAGAGGTTTATAGGGCTCACAGTTCTGAAAGGTCAAAAGGCTGCATCTGGTGAGGGTCTTGTTGCTAGGGAGTTACATGGTGGAGGGCATCACTCGGAGAGACAGAGCAGGAGCACGTATGTCTGTCTCATCCCCTCTCCTTTTAAGACTACAAAGCTCCCATTATGGGGGTCCCACCATGATACATTAATGAGTCCTATCACCTCCCATAGCCCCACTTCTTATTCCTATTGTCAGGCTAAGTTTTCACCTTCATAATCCTGTCATGACCAAATTTCATCACAAGAATTTTAGGAAGATACAATCAAATCATACCACTTCTCAAACAAAAAACAATTTGGCCAAGAATTAAATTGTCTAGTTGCACACTTTTCTCTACAAGAGTTGTTGGCATTGATCTGTTTCCTTCTAGCATCCACAGATCTGAGGCTAATGTTTGTTCCTAGGCAACATGTTTTTATTTGCACAGGCCCTTGCAGTATTTCCTCTTTACCCATGTGGACTGGGTAAGTTTGCTTTGAACCAAAAGTCATTTTGGTGCTCTGTTGCTGCTAGGTAGAGTACACAGGTCTTGGAACCAAAGAATGAAAGTATCTCCTGTCTCCAATACTAGCTTCTGTTGGACAAAAGGTCTTAGTTTTACTAAATAAATAAGGGTTCCACTGACCTGAAGCTTCAAATACCATTTTTTAAATTTTATTCATTCATTCATTTTATTTTTATTTTACCAGAGAGAGAGAGAGAGATAGAGAGAAAGTGAGAAAGCAAGCCGCCAGGTCCAGGACCTGAACCATGGTCAGCTATGTGGGAGTGCCCAGCACCTTAACCACCATGCCACCTGCTGGTCCCCAAGCTTCAACTACCATTTGAGACTTCTCATGCTAGCAAAACAGAAGACAGAGTGGAGTTACTCTACTGGTGGTAGTAATGGACTCCAGTTATTATGAGGAAAGGGGATTGCTGCTACACAATCAAGGCCGGGAAGAGTGGGTCAGGAACTAAGGGATTCAACAGGCCATCACTTATCTCCACACACAGCAACCATTCCTAGTAAAAACACGGGAATTAAGGGCTCCAAGTTCTCCCCCAAGAGGTCTGAGTTTCCTACTGGACAAACAACCTAGACCAGCAGAAAGATTAGCCAACAATGAGGAGAATCTAAAATGAATGAAGAGGAAAATAGTAAATATCAGTTCCAATTTGGGTACCAACTGCACACAATATGCCTCAGTTTTCTTGTCCTTCAAATGTGATAAGAATAACCTTTCTGTTCCATGCTGACTCCTAGTTCCTGAGTTAGATAGAAGTGCATTCACTGACTTCTTTGCCTTTCCTGTCACTTCTCCATTACCTGCCAACATTTCCTGGAGGAATTTCCCATATCAACCACTTACACTCAAATCCTTCTGCCAGTTCTTCTAGGGAAATCTAATCCAAGACACTTACAGAGAGTCCCCACAATGCTGATGAAGCAAGAGCATCAAAACCCTTACTTTGTACAGGGCCTTTCACAGCCTTGTGAAGAGCCCCAGCAATGCACTCACATGGTCATGT